GCGGTTGTGAAAGCTTAATGATGCACAAGCCTCAAGTGGACTGAGACTCCCACAGAGAAGCAGCCTTGACTGACGACACCTGTGGACACTTCTGGTCAGGAGACCCTCCCACACCAAACCCGCTGGTGTCTACCACTTCCAGACTGCAGGAGACTGACCTCAGATGGACTCTTCCACCCCCAAAGTTCCCCTTTTCCATCCTGTAAAACCCCAAGACGCCCACACCACATCTGCACAGTCTCCACTTCCACAGCGAGACGGCAGCCCTTCAGTAGTTCTGATTAAAGGAACAGTTCTGCTTCTGCAGGTGCCCGTCTGTCTTTGATTTCCACACCGCTTCCATCAATCCCGGTCTAACGGTCTGCCTATGTGTCTTAGTCCCCAGGGCAGCTCCTCCTGGGCTCGGTCTGTTCACTGGATTGCCTTTTACCCCTTCAGGGGCAGCTGCCTCATACAAACTTCAGGTCATCTCAGTGGCTCTAATCTTGGACCAGCCACGGCCTGACAGCAGCCATCCCTGACATGAGGTTTGTGTGTCCACTTAGGCTTTAAATCAGATGCTACACAGTGGGAAAACACTGCAAGATCTAACAAGCAATTAGGAGCCCCTGTGAAGGAACTGGAAAGCAAATGCTAGTCAGTCTGCCAGGTGAGTCGTGACCACCACAGGAAGGACGCTGAGTCCTGAGTGTGGTGGGCATCCACCTCCACAACAGACACTGGTTTTTGTTGTTTTGTTTTGTTTTTTTCTCCTTTTTTTCCTTCTCCTTAGCAAACCAGTATGCTGGGTTCCAGAAGTTTCTCACCTAAAATAAGCACATACAATTATTTTAAGAGTCTGTGGATCAGGCTCATGTCCATATGGCGCACTTACCACACTGTGGAAGACAAAGACCCTGAGGAACAAACTGAAGCCCGGCAGCTCTTGGTGCCCAATGGTATGAAGTGTGGAACCATGATACCCCTCTAGCCAGCCACTTAACTCCCCACTTCCTCTCTGTCAGGGTCTCACTATTGAGTTGTGGCTGGCCTGGTACTTGCTATGTAGACAAGGCTGGCCTAGAACCCACAGAGCTCTACCTGCCTCCACCTTCCAAAGGCTAGGAGTAATGGTGTGCACCACCACCTGCCCCATGCCTTTGACTGCACACAGCATTGCTTTAACAGGCTCGATGCCGCCACTAACAAGCAGGTGGGCTTGGGCCATTGTGTAACTTCATTTGCTACTCGGAAGACTGAGGTAGGAAGACCAACTGAGCCAAGAATTTGAAGCTAGCATGGCTAACATATTGAGGCCTTTGGGGGGGGGGGGGCGATGGGGGGGAGACGTTTCATCTAGAACATTCCTGGGTGTATGTCCCTGCACTGGAATGGTCTATCAAAGGAGTTTACATTTGCAAAGCAATTGGATAAAAGCAGTCACAATGTTCCCTTGTAATAACAAAACATTAGAAAACACCTCAAGTTTGAGCGTCTGTGATGCCCTCATGTATGAGAGACACTGCCAGGGTGGGGCTTGACGCTGCAGTGAGGGAGGGCCTGACTTTCCTGTATCTGTGTGTGTGTGTGTGTGTGTGTGTGTGTGTACCACAGGTGTGGTCAGAGGACAACTCTGAGGTGGTTCTCCATCCACTGTGTGGGTCGAGGGACCAAACTCAGGTTGTCAGGGTTGACAGCAGGTGTCTGCTGCTCAGTCATCTTGCTGGCCCTGCACCTGTATATTTTGATGCTAAGCATACAAATGGACTATTCAGATGCACAGGACCTACATTCACAGGCTTGGAAAGATCTGGAAGGACTCAAATAGTCACAGTGTCACTAGAGCTGGCCTCTGGTGGTCTCTACTTGTTTCCTCATATCCTGTTTCCCCACTTGAATCATGGGATGAGAAGCTTTCTCCCACATTTCAGGCACAGCAGCCTGCACAGCAGCCCCAAGACAAAATGCCCTGTGCCTGCTGAGGATTGCCACCTCTTACTCCCTCCACACCAATGTTCTAGATACCTCTTCCCTCAGTCCCTCACCTTCCACCTCCTTCTGCCTAAGCACAACAGTGACTACTGATGATGTGTGTGCAATCAGCTCTTCTTGTCTAAGAGGCCACAGCACATCATTTCTGCCTCCTGCTGCCAATAGCAAGGCTCTGCACAGTTCTGGCCTCAGAGACAAGCCAGCAGAAAGCTGCCTGGTTTCCCTGAATGGCATGATGGCTGTGAAGACAGCTAGAGAGGAAACACAGCTGGGAATTGCACAGTTTTCCTTGTAATTTTGTGTGTGTGTGTGTGCATGTGTGCACACGTGCAAGTCGGGGGTGTCAGACCCCCTGGGGCTGGAGTTATAGTTGGTTGTGAGCTGCCTCATGTGGGTGCTAGGAATCAAACTCGGGTCCTCTGCAAGAGCAGTGTGCACTCCTAACCACTGAGCCATTTCTCCAGCCCTTTGTTTTGTTGTGTTTAGACAGTGTTTCATGTAGCTCAGGTTGGCCTAAAACTCCGTATGTAGCCAAGGATGACCTTGAATTTCTCATCCTCCTGCTACCATGCCTAGCTAAGCTAGTTTTTGTTTTTGTTTTTAAAGACAGTCTTGCTATGTAGCCTTACTTGGCCAGGAACTCACTTAAGTAGACCAGGCTGGCCTAGAACTCACAGAGATCCCTGCCTCTCTGCCTCCTGAGTGCTAGGATGGAAGGCGTGCGCCACTGTGTTTAAGCCTGGCTAAACAACTTTATTTACTTACATGTTATACACAACATAATCAAATATTCAAGGATTTCCACTCCACGTATGCCTGCTGATGTGTGCAGGACCCAGACACTGACTTGTAACAGGAGGTTAAATCCTGGGGACAAAACTGATCTTACATCGGATTCTATCTCACACCGCCTTCCCCAGAATCCTTAGCTCTCCACCAACTCAGGATTTTCTCTCACCTGCACCTAAGTCCTTTGCTAAATCCCATCCCACTTGCCTAGTATGTGTAAGACTGCGTTTCGTGTACTGCGAACAAGCTGCTTCTTTATATTTTAAATTTCCAGTGCATTTATCAGCGCTGCAGGCTACCCATCGGTGCCTCCTGACAGGGGTGCTTGAAGACAGACGTCAGAACAACACTGATGCTGACAGACGTTCACCAACGCTGGTTCTTTACATGCAAAGATAACCTGAGATGTAAAGAACAGACCCTTCTCAGTTATTTGACCAAATGTGCCACAGTGATGGAGGTGAACGGGTTTGGGTTTGGTGGGACTGCCAGAGCTGAGCCAGGAACTTTTTTTTTTTTTTTGCTTTGTTTTGGAGACAGGGTTTCTCTGTGAAGCCCTGGCTGTCCTGGAACTCGCTTGGTAGACCAAGCTGGCCTCGAACTCACAGAGATCCACCTGCCTCTGCCTCCTGAGAGCTGGGATTAAAGGCGTGTGCCACTGCCGCCTGACAGCTGGAAACTTTTGTGTGTTTAGCAGGATGGAACCGAGGGCCTCACGCATGCTCAGCACATGTTCTACCATTGAGCCACACCCAGAGCTCTTCTGTGACATTTATGTAATTCTAAAAGTATTCTAAAATAAGTTTATTTACAAAATTGGAGCTGTGGGTAGAGTGATAAAGGGCACCTGCCTAGAATGCATGAGGCCCTGAACCAAGAAGACATAGACTGTTATTCAGATTGGTCACTAACATGGTTTAGTTGTGTGTGTGTGTGTGTGTGTGTGTGTGTGTGTGTGTGTGTGTGTGTTTCATCTGGGCCAGCCCTTTGGACTACACATGTCTGTAGTAAGGCAGGAATTTGCTCTAATCCCTAAGAAAACATGGTAACCACATACGGTACTGGCCAGGAACACAAAGCCCTAGAGATCCTGGTAGCAGCAATCTTCAAACATGCACCCCTGTCTTTAAGAGTCCGTAAACAACGGCTGGAGAAACTCTCGGTATTTTAGAACACTTGCTGCTCTTGCATACCACCCTGGTAGGATTCCCAGCACCCACATGGTGGCTCACAACCATCTGTGACTTCAGCTCTAGGGGATCTGAAATCCTCTTCTGGCTTCTGTAGGCACCAGGTACACACAAGGTGAGCATGCATACATGCAGGCTAAACATTCATAAATGTATACATGCATATGTATGTACTTATATCCTGCTATGCCCAGGCACCCACACACCCACAGGACCAGCTTGTGGCCACAGGAGAACAGCTCCTGGTGAGGGGGAGGCAGGTACTCAGCAAACATTTGTTAACACATCTACTAGAAGACAGCGGAGGTGATGGGTGAGGGTGGGTTGCTCAGAAGGTCCTGGAAAGAAAGGTTCCTTAGAGGAGGTAAGCCTGGCCTTAGGACCTGTATAGTTTAGCAGAGCAGGGGGCAGGTGTGTACAATTCTTGGTCAAGACACATCAGATTAAGATAAATACGTTTTGGATACTCAGAAGAGGGCAACTGGATCAGAAAGAGCTTTGGGATGGAAAACGGTATTCTAAACGTCTATTTATCGAAAACAGAATTCTGCCAGCTTTCCATCCTGGAGCTCGGCACATGATTTGGACGTCGAAGATGAGCATTCATGCAGGTATTGAGGAGAGGATATCTTATTTAGTTGCTACTGTTGGCAATTTGCATTCATAGAGCCTAGAGCCACAAGTGGTAAACAATGAGGACAATTCCTTTTAGTTATTGTACAGGCAACTTGAAAATGCCACCCTTTATTTAACATTCCTTTATTGGAAGTATCTTCTGTATTCATTTCCTTTCCCATTTTTTTTAAGGTAGGGAGAAAACAATAGGGAGAATGGGGGCGGGGAGTAAAAAAAAATCAAAACATTGAGGTTTTGTGTTGTCTTTCAAAGTATGAACTAAATACCAACATGCCGGAAAGACAGAACAAAGTCAACTCGTCCTCCGCGCTCCCGCCCCGCCCGCCGGCGCCCAACAGGTGCTTGCCCGCCCTCCCGGAGCCGCCGATCCTCAGGTCGCCGCAGAGCACCCGCCTGGGGCCCGCCCGTACTCACGGCCGCTCGGCGGTCCGCGGCCCGGTCCGCAGCGCCCATCCGGCCCAGGCTCGGTCGGCGCGGGCTCGGCTTTCAGGCGGTCCCGGTGTGGCCCGGGACGCGGTCTGGCCGTTGGCGCCCTGGCCCGGCGCGAGGCATCCTCCCGCCGCCGCCCCGCGGGCCGCCTGCCCTTTGTTTTGGAGCGGTGGCCCGGCCCAGCCGCCATAAACGGCCACGGAACGCCGCGCTGGCCAATCGGTGCCCGCGCCCCGCCCTCCCGCCCCGCCCCCTCCGTGTCCCCGCCCCTCGCCCTGCCCCAGGCGCCCACGCGCGTTTCGCCGCGCCCCGGGAACTCGGCTTGAGCGGCCTGCCACGGCTGAGATCGCCGCGGTCTCCAGGGGCGGGGCCTGGCGAGGAACCGCCTGAGCCTGGAGTCGAGGCGACCGAACAGGTGGCTGGGCGGGTCGGGAGGTCCAGGTCCTGGGAAGGCCACAGGTTTGCGCCGCCGCTGGCTGCACGCAGGAGGACCTCTGCAGCTGAGTCCCTGGACTGCAAGCTTCTTCCCTTTCTCCATCCTGACCACCCTTTCTGAACTCTCCGAGTCACCACGTGAGAGCCTCCAGATCCCCGTGGACTTGAACTGTGGAACCTCCAGATCAGAATTCCTGCCTACAACACAGGCCGCCTATGTCCACTTTCCATGTCCATATGTGCGCCTCTTCCATATGTGCCTGTTATTTTTTTTCTTGGTCTCTTTAGATCGATTTTTTAAATAAAAGCACACTGCTGAGAGTGGGTGTACACATTTTAATACATGTTCGCGCCTTCTAGAGTGTTAGGATTTATTGTATTGAGAATGCCCCTAATTGATTAGATTGCGGCTTTTATTGCCAGTTACCCATGAGCTGCCATTTACTTAGCGACCCTCTCAAGTGATTGATTACTCTCTCGTCTATATTCTTCCTAGCTAGAAGATGGAATCTCACGGTTTTTGGTTTTTAAGATATTCAAGCTGTAATTCAAGCTGGCCTCAACTATGCAGCCCAAGGATGATCTTGAACTTTAGTTTTAAAACTTACTATTGTGTGCATAAGTGTGCACTGTGCACATTCGGCATGCTGTGGAGGACAGAGGACAGCTTTGCTTCTCTCCTACCATGTGGGTCCTGGAGTTCGAGCTCAGGTCATCAAGCTTGACAGTAAGTGCCTTTATCCACTGAACCATCTGGCTGGCCCTTCTATTTTTCTGATTCTGATTCTCTCTCTCTCTTTCTTTTTTGAGACAGGGTTTCTCTGTGTAGTTTTGGTGCCTGTCTTGGAACTTGCTCTGCAGACCAGGCTGGCCTCGAACTCACAGAAATCCACCTGAGTGCTGGGATTAAGGCATGTGCATGGCTCTTTTATTTTTAAAGTATTTAATCTTCTAATTTCTTAAGGGTTATTTTTATTTACATGTATGCATATGTATTAACGTATTAATGTATCCCACATATGTGCATGCCTGTGGAGGCCATAAGAGGGCATCAAATCTTCAGGAGCTGGAATTATAGGTGGTTTTGAATCACTCAACAGGGTTCCTGGAAACCTTTTTATTTTCATGTCGTGTGTGTGTGTGTGTGTGTGTGTGTGTGTGTGTGTGTGAGAGAGAGAGAGAGAGAGAGAGAGAGACAGAGACAGAGACAGAGACACAGAGAGAGACAGAGACAGGGCCCTATTGTGTTTAACAGACGCTCACATGAGCATGGGAGTGGTTATTTGCTGGAACAAGGGCAACTTCCCAGTGGCTACAGCACTAAAGACAGACTCTTTGGACATGGTGGGCACACCTTTAATCCTAGCAGAGACAGGAGGTCTCTGTGATTCTCTTTGTGTTCTAGCCAGGGCTACATAGTGAGACTTTGTGCCCATAGGGGAAAAAACAAAAAGATTTAAAAAGGTTAGAGCAATGAGCACGGGGTTGAGAGCCCTCGATGAGTTCCTTTTCCAGCACACACATCACAACTCAGTTCTAGGAGATCTAATACAGTCATCTGGCCTCCGTGGTCCTCTACACACACATGCACATAAAAACACACAGGCGCAAAGATGCAGACACATACATTTAAAAATACACAATAAAGCTTTTAAAACAGCAACAGATTGGATATCCCCAGCCAACTATTAACTATCAGTAGATCCTCAGTGAGGGTGGGGACTTGAATCCCTCCCCCACCGGGGACAGAATATGGTTGGGTTCCATCTTGTGCTATGAGTTCCTGAGTACAGCAACATATCATGTTCAGAAAACTGTTTCACAGACTCCTTCCCATCCTACAGTTGTTACATCCTTTTTGCCCTGTCTTCACAGTGTTCCTGAGCCTTAGAAGTGCTAATACAGATGTCCTGTCTCGGGCTGAGCATTCAACAGTCTCATTTCAACACATTACCCAGTTATGACTGTTAACCATTGGCCACTGTAAATGGAAGCTTCTCTGACCAAGGCTGAGAGGCGCACTGATCCACTCATGGTGTGAGCATGAACATATAGAAGGTAAGTTTGACTACACGTCCATTCAGCAGGGCAGCAGGCTTCCCCCAGGGCTGATGGCCTCCTTAGAATGGGCGTTTTTGTTTGTTGGTTGGTTTTTCTTTTGTTTTCGAGACAGGGATTCACTATGTAGACCTGACTGTCCTGGAACTCACTCATGCTCTTTATAAGTCCCTGACCATCCAGCCAAACCATTAGCTACAGCCATGAATCAGTGAACAATCACATACCTGGCCATTTCTCCTTCCAAATAAAATATATGTCATGTGTATCACTCACTGTGAAGATTTCTCTTTGTCGGTGTCTTTCAGGGTTGTCCCAGAAAGGGGTTGTAATGCTGCAGCTGTCCACTACTGGGTGGTGCCTGCATAAGAGGATGACTGGACCACAGGCCTGGGTACCAGGTGCTTGGAAGGGTCTACACTTGGCTGTGCCTAGTAAGGGGGAGGGCTTTTGCTCCTCTCCTTGGCATTGTTGTAAATGAATAAAGAGCATGATTAGAAAATTGGTGAGAAAGACATCTGAGGAAGAAGTATTTGGATAGATTTCTCCAAATGAAGATGTGAAGATACTGTGTCCCATGTAAATGCTTACCAAAAGGTGACTTCAGCTAAGGAGTTCAGTAATCAAGTAGATAGGATGACCAAATCTGTGGACTGTCACTGACCAATGGGCCCATGAACAAAGTGGCCCTGATGGCAGAGATGGGGTTATGCATGGGCTCAACAACATGGACTTCCACTCAGCAAGGCTGACCTGGCTACAGCTGCTGCTGAGTGCCAGATCTGCCAACAGCACTGAGTCCCAGATGTGCCACCATTCCTTGGGGTGAGCAGTCAGTGACCTGGTGGCAGGCTGACTACACTGGCCACTTCCTTTGTGGAAAGGACAACACTTTGTCCTTACTGGACAAATACTTATTCTGGTTATGGATTTCTCTCTCTTACATGTGATGCTTCTGCCAAAACCACCATCCGTGGACTTATCCACCATCATGGTATTCCACACAGTATTGATTCTGACAAAGGAACTCACTTCACAGCCAGAGAAGTGCCAACAGTGGCCCATGATCACGGAATCCACTGGTTTTACCACGTCCCCCACCATCCTGAAGCAGCTGGCCTGACAGCAGGGTGGAAATGCCTTTTTGAAGACACAGCCCCGTAGTGGGAGAAACTTACGGCTACAACGAGGAGAGTTTATTTGGCTTATACACTTTCATATCACCATTCATCATCAAAGGGCGTCAGGGCAGGAACTCAAATGGCAGGAACCTGGAGGCAGGAGCTGATGCAGAGGTCATGGAGGAGTGCTGCTTACTGGCTTGCTCAGACTGCTTTCTTATAGAATCCAGGACCACCAGTGATGGCATCATCCACAATAGGGCTAGGCCCTCCTCCTTCAATCACTAATTAAGAAAGTTAGGTTACAGCTGGATCTTATAGAGGCATTTTCTTGAGGTTCCCTTCTCTCAGGTGACTTTAGCTTGTGTCAAGTTGGGTTGGCTATTTGGAGATGAACTGTAAACAGGCTCTGGACCTCTCCACACCACTGAGGTTCTAATGGTTCAGCAGCTTTTGCACACACTGCTATTACAGGAATTCCCATTCAGTTGATAACTGGCACCTAATGGGGGTGTGGGGATACCTCACTGTGGCTTTGATTTGGTATTCCAGGTAATTAGTAATGTGTATTTCTTTTGAAAACTTCATTGGCCTGACATGTTTTTAACCATGACCCACATTACCCATACACTTCGTATCTACAGTACTGTTTGGGGGGACACACAAATTGAAAGGAGAGGGCTGGTTGCACAACCGTGTACCTAACACTATTAAGTAATAACTTAAAAATCGCTACGATGCAGGTTCTAAAGCATCTAAAAACCTACACTCTGGAAATGCTCCAAAATCTGAAACACCTCGAGCACCTACATGATATCCTAAGTGGAAATTCATGTAACAGGCCATGGTCAAAACATGAGTCCAGGGAAGGGAGCTAGGGCTCAGTGGTGTTCAGCTGGACATCAAGCCACTCAGCCAAGAACTCTCCTGCCAGAGCAAACTTTCAGGGGCTTAGAGCTCCTCACTAGAGCTGAGGCTGGAGGCCAGTGCCTTCTGCGGCATGCCTTCCCTGCATGGCTTCCACCTATGCTCTGGAACACGTGTACTCTCCTGCAAGGACTCTTGAGTCTTTCCTTTCCTTAAGGGTTCTGCCCACCTGTGACCCCTCCACTCTGTCACCACACTGGAGACCAGTGCCTTCACCCTCGCCCCTTTCTTCACCCAGAGTCTCCCCATTCCCTCACCCTTTCCTGGGACGGCAGGGACTTGGTTTGTTCCTGCCTGTTGCTCAATGCTAATGAGGTGTGCTGCAGGGTATTCGAGGACACAGTTAAAACCCAAGATGCCAGCCCGAGTCAATGCTCAGGACTGTTAGTCCTCCAGATGTTTCCTCTCAAAGAGCCTAGAGCAGGGCTTCCTGGAAAGAGACAGCATTAAGTGGGAACACTGTCAGTGGTAGAACTCTTGCTGAGCATGTGCCCAGCTCTGAGTTCAATTCCAGCACTACACAGATCAAACAGCGGCAGCAGCCAAGGAGATGGTTCTAGGGGTGACGAGCTTGCTGCACCAACATGAAGGACCTGAATTTGGATCCCTAGTGCCTGGCATGGTGG